GAATAAATTGCTGTTTTATTTGCAGCATGACTGATTGATCTTGGAAATTCTTTAAATATCTTTAATAACAAATGAATTTATCATTTCTTGCCAGAATTTACTACCATAAAATGACTGGGATAATTCTGTTGCAAGAACATTAACATTTAGTAAGGCTCCTTTTTACTGTATTCTTGCAGTTAATAACTGCAGCTATTATGTCAATAACAAGTTGTTTGTATTTTATTTTTGTTTATACCAGTCTTAAAGATACACGTTCTGAATAAAAAAAGTTGAATTCATGAAATTGATGTGTACTGGGGTTTGGAACTAAAATATGGTTTCAAAAGTACTTGGGTTATAACACGTGTCCTTGTTTGTATGTGTATTCAGTATCTTATTTTTAAGATTTCTTAATGATCTTGTAAAGAAAAACATTGCACATTTTTAGGAATTATCCTTTTAATTTTTTGTGTATTCATCTTTTTCTGTTGTTGCAACTGAAAGAGATAATATCAAAGTGGGATCTCTTTAGTTCAAGGCCTCATCCTCAACTTTATAAAAAAGTTTTCCTTTATCAGTTTCCCTAGAGATAATGGGTGCCATTGACATCAGTAAGTTATGACGCTGCTAATTTCTAGCCTGAAGCTGTACACTCTCCACCTTAATAACATTATGAAACATCCTGTTGACTTCCTGGAAAGCATCCTTATCTCCATAATACTTTATTTACAAACTACCTCCTAAGAGGTTGCTTTCCAGATTGTCTCAATTTCATCTGTTTTGTGTTGTGACTACATTTTTAAAGAGTGATATTTTCAAGAGTATATTGTTTTTTTACTACCTATAGCTCCTATGCACTGACATAGTTTACAGATGTTATTTGAGGAAAATGTAGGAAAACGCTATGCTACTGTCCTAGAAAGGAAATTATGAATCTAGTATGCCTTTGGAGTTAAGAAACACACTAAATTCTTGTAACTTAGCACTTCAAATGAGTAAATTTTTGTATACCAAAGGGGATTTCTTTTTTTTCCAGTAATCTAAGGAAATTTATTTTTGGTCCTGAGGAAAAACTTTGTTCTACTTTATATGAATAATAGCAGTTTCATATACTATAAGTGATTCTGCCAGTTGCCAAATATTCTGGGACTTACCCATAATTAAGCTCTTGGGAGCAATATCTTAGGGTGGGCCTAGTCTAACACTTAGAAATAGCTAAATTTCAAGAAAAAATTTTGTGTTGTAACTATTATACTCTTAAATGATAATGCTTAGAGTTTATTTTCACTTGAATTTGCCAACTCCTTTTTTCCTTGAATTTAGAATTATGGAAAAACTTGGGTAATCTTTCTCTTAATCTATATAACCTTATACACAGAAATAGAGTTTAATAATTTTTAATTCTATTATTATATATATTTTTTACTACACCAGTTTGGGGAAAATATCTTCATTATATTATGCCAGTTCTATTTAATACTTTCTAAAATGATACTTTTTAATTTTGAAAGACTAATTTTAATCAGGAATTTTTTTTTTATAATTTTTAATCAGGAATTCTTAACCTTCCATTCTGATCTGTTTTATTCACTAGTTGTTACTTAGTTCTATGAAAATTCTACTTATTGAAATCATGATAATAAGGATCTTGGAATTTTAATTGTTCTTTTTATGTAGTTTTCAAAATTTGTCATTTCTTAGAATATTTCCAAGGTAAAATATTATTTTACCTGTGAAAATTCTTAATTTTCCCTTAAAATAGTCTAGCAGCCAGTGTCCCTCTGTTCCCCTGCCCCCTCCCCCCACCCCAGCCAAGGGCCACCTGCATAAGAATAAACTGTAGGTCTTTTTTTTTTTTTTAATGCAGATTTGGGGCCATACTCCCAGTTATTCTTAGGGGTCATTTCAGAACAAGATCTGGGTGATATTTATACCCAGTAAAAATCTAACAACTCTGTCTAGGACCTTATTGTTCTTGCCATGAATACCTTAGGAAATAAATAAGTCAGTGTTTAACTAGATAATTTTTGTTATGTTTCTCAGAACATTTCAGTTTTTCTTATTAGGCTTTTGACTAGCTTTATAGCTGTCATCCTCTGTCCAAAAGAAGCCCTCTGGGGAAAATATTCTGTGGGGAAAACTTGTAATTGTGCTTTCCAAATTTTACAGTGGTATTTTGACATTCTTGTAAGGAGCAATATCATGAGAGCTTTTAATATAAATGTTTCCATAAAAGAGGCATTTAGGTCACTCTTAAAGACAAGATTTTTGCCCTTTGCCTGCAGTTAGGAAAGTCATGGCAGTGAATGATCTGGTGACAGTTATCATGTCTTAAATCCTTTTTTTCCCCAAGCCTTCAGTGAAAGTCTACATATCTGGCCTATCTAGGGCCAGACTCTTGCTTGCCTTGGATTGGCAGTTCATTGCTTATTTTCACAAGTTGTCTGTTAAGTCCTCATTAAAATCAATTGTACTTAACAGCCTGTGAATATATTTCATTAGAAACTGATGCAGTTGACTCAAGTTTAATTTCTGAAGTTGTTGAAGATAAAGTCAGGAAAAATGCACTTAAGGCAACTTACTATGGAAATTTAAGAATATGGTTTTAAGGATTTAATATAGAAGGACAGACCTGAGTTTAAATCCCAGATCTCTGTCATTTAAAAGCTATGAGTGAAAAAAAAAAAAAGAAAAGCTATGAGTGCAGTTGAAGTAATAATGTCATGGGGAGCTTTTCTAGCAAAACCCAAATTCTCTGAATTGCTAAATGATATTTATGACTTCTGACTTCTCAGACATAGTTAGAAAGAAAATAAAACTTTTGAGGCTGGAAAACAAGACCTGTTTATATTAGTAACCAGTTAGTAAATATGTTAATAAAATAGGTCAAAAAATTTTCAACTCAACTTTTTTGAAAAATAAATAGTAATATTCTGATTCACATAATAAAAATGGTAAAGTTTTTAATGTTAAAGCATAGAAAGAATTAAGTTCTGATACATTTCACACAATTATAAGTCACTGGAGTGTTCATCAAAAGCAACCCTAGAGGTCCATTTGACTCTGATGGACTGACTCTGATGATGAACTTCTACTTCACATCATCAGTAATGTAAAATATGAAATATTTTGATAAATTATTAAATATTATGTGAGAAGAAAAGGTCAATGGATCTGGTTTAATCATAAGCATATTGTTTCTCTATCCAAACAAAACAAGAGCTGAATACCATAAGGCTGTAGTATAGCTTGTTATATGAACTAAAGTGGATAACCAGAAAAAATATAAAGATTGATTTATTCCTCCAATTCTATTTATAAGACATTTATGCATATCACACTGAGAATTACAAAATGAGCTACAAGTAACACCCTGGTGGTTCAGTGGTTAGGACTCCATGCTTTCACTGCAGGGGCCATGGGTTCGATCCCTCACTGGGGAACTAAGATCCCACATGTCACATGGTGCAACCGAAAAAAAAAAAGAAAACTACAAATATTTTAGAAGGGAAAATATCTTAAATACAGTAACAGTTTATTTATATCATCATTGACTATATCATATGCTAAGGCATATTTTAATTTTTCAGTTAACCGAGGAAAATCCATTTAATCACTAATTTTTTAACAGTTTTATAAGAAATATTCTATAGTATGCTTTCCACTTCTCTGCATTTTCCTTGTCATCTTTAGGAACACGGGTGATAAACAGAAATTCGCCCTTAGCGGCTGCTGAGTTACAGAATGCACCTTTACTACATGACCTTGCATTGCTGTGCTTTTTGAGTCGTATCTGTTTTTCACAGTTTCTCTATCTTCTCTTATAATCAGTTGTCACTTTTTGCTGCTGTCTTGTGTGCCTGCTTCCCGCACTAGGCCCCTAACTTGCTGCTTCTAATCTGCTGTGGAGTGAGAAACCAGATTGCCAAGCTTGCTAGAATTGTGTCTAAAATAAGAGTAAGTAGACTGAACAAGGCTTAAGGGGCTTTTCTGTCAGTAAAGTGCATGGACTTTGTGGTACCTGTTTGGCTGCTCAGCATACTTTTTGTTTGCTTCTTAGTTCTTTACTAAGAATTTGCTAAAAATACTTGTTTGAATATGTGATTACCATACATTTAGAGTATTAATTCAATTTTTATATGGTGATGTTTCTAGGACTCTCCATTAATGAATTCAGCCATAAAAGAAAATTTGACTATCTTTGTATAAATCACTATATATATTTTAGGAAAATGTTAAATATTTTGTTCTTGCTAAGTGTTCAAATATAGTATGCAGACTTAAAACTTAGAGCACTATAAGTAGACTTCAACTCTGTTCACCAAGATTTATATTCTAGAACTATTGGTTTGAGACTAAACATGCATGGCTAATTTAGTAAGAACTGCCTAACTGAATATTTGGGGAATGAGTCATTCTAGATATCCCAGTTTTCTGTGGAGCTTAAACTTCTAAAGAGCTTTTAAAATTTTTGGAATAATTACTGAAGAAAATCTTTTTATGCATTGCTGTCTTCTTAAGCAATATATGAAATACATTGAAAAATTTTTGATGTCAAAATGATTGTTACTAACAACAGTTTTACTGTAATAAACTACTCAGGCACTGAAAGCTATATGCCCCTTTACTAAGTAACTCCATTCTGCTGTGCCTTTGATTTCTAATAGTTCTGATTTCTCTATTACTGCTCACTGAAGTGTGCCTGTAGCAGTAGCCTTTCTCTGCCTTCATAATGTTCCTCTAGACTGCTTCAGGTTTGGAAGACAGCCGACTGAGACAGCTAGCATAATGTATAAAAAATACGAAGAGTAAACTGACTCAGTAAAAACCTGATACATGAATTATAGCTTATTATCTATTTCGTTGCTGTCTTTAAGTGTACTAGATTAGAGTCCTGTTCTCAGAATAGAAGAGCAGTTAGTATACCAAAGAAACCATTTTGTTTCCATACTTTACCTTCTATATATTTCACACTGCTAATATTTTTGGTGCCGATTAAAACCAGTCTAGTCAAATTAGCTTTTTCTATAGTACTCTCTATTTGAGTTGGATACCACATGATGCCAAGAATTTCTTTGGCTGGGTTGTTTTTGTTATGTCGGTTTTGTTTTTAGAGAAATGTATCCTTATTTTCAAAACACGAAGTAGGTTGAGCCCTGGAAAATAAGGAAACTTTTGTTATTGATACTATGGAGAACTGAATGGTGGTAAGGGTTTTAGACTCAAGGCAGGTATACACAGGAAAATTATTCTTTGATTATACAAGTTTTTAAGATAATATCTTTATTTTTATTCAATTAAATGTATATTAAAAGCTGGCCAAACATGAAAGTGTTAGATCTAAGATCTTGACAGATACTTGAATGACTAAATTCCCACTGTCATTCTGTATTTTGCATGTTTAAGTTATAATTTTATGTGTTAATTAATCAAGCATGATTATTTTTCTTGTGAAAAATAAAAGTTAGATTTGCATGTTATATAATATTTGCAAGTAAAATTCAAACCTGTCCGGAAAGGGATACTTGAACTACTTGGTTTTACCAACAGGCTGATTGTGTTTTAGTAACCATATGTTGATTCATCCTGCCATCTAATTACACGGTAATTAGAGAATCAATCCACTGATTTTATGGCCGTGCCTCAAAGTCAGCTTTCAGTTATTCATGCTACTAGAAGGGAATTATGATGCAATATTCATCAAAAAATAGATGATCCAAAACACTGTCTTAAGTTGAAGCTGCCATTACAAAATAGTTATGAGGCCAAACTTGGTTTGGTGATGCAAAGAGAAAAATTCTCTTTGAGTGTAGTTGTGAAAAGAAAGTGACTCTACCTAGTATAATGGCTCTAAATCAAAAAGAGGGTGAATTGATTCCAGAATTCACATATACAAAAGTTTAACATGAATAAGGAGTTGATTTTTATGGATATCCTAAAATGTGTGATAAATTAAAATACATATGTTTTAAATGCTATAAATTTTAATATATATTTTAACCTGTGAGTGATTAAGTTTGTTTCATTTCCATTTACTAATTTCATTTGGTACATATCAAACATTTTACTGCAATAGGACAGTATTTAAGTTGTGTATACTTTGGAATACACTATTTTTAAAAGTGAGTATATTCTGTGAGATACTGTTGCACAAGTATATTTCTCCTCTCATTTATGTTTTAAGAGTTTCTCAAAATAAGAGATAATTTTACTATTTTGGACTTGACATTTTTCACTTTTTAGCATTTTCTTAAAGGTCGGCTAACTACAAATTATTTTATCATTGAACATATTTTAAAAACTAACACATATCTTTTACAAGTAATTATTCTTTTTCCCTTCCCAAGTACATCTATAATATATTAGCTCAAATGGAAATCTGTATTAGCTGAATCAAAGTATTTTCTGCACTTTATTTCACCAACCTGTACTTCTGTTCATAACATGATTTAAATAATGCTTACTCAAGCACAGTACTAGCATCTGGCAACATACAGAAAGCTCCAGATATGTTACACCCATCCCTTAAAGACTGGCTTATGGTTCTGGTACAGCCCTGGAGGTCCATATGAGTGAAAAGCCAGAAGTCTGCCTGAGCTGAAAACACTCCCAAGGAGTTTGGTTTTGTTTGGGTTTGTTCTAGGTATGGTCCCAGGGATCCCAGATCAAACCAGGCCCCTGGGCCTATCCTAGAACCAACCTAAACTCGCGCATCATTCCTGGAACGTCAAGAGTGTGAAGGCTGAAGACAACCTGAAGCTGATGAGACATACTGAGTTTAATGTTTTTTTGTATGTGTGCCTATGTGTGAACAAAAATTGGTTCATTAATCCTTCTAAAATAGAGGGATGACAGTGGACAAGATAGTCTTACCAGACTTTGACATTATAGTAATTTATCACAATAGGAATGTGGTATATAATATGGTTATTATTAATTGCCAGTTAGAAGCATTGTTCTTACAGTTTTTATTATCTGGTCTCTAGTTTTAGGGTAAGCAACTTAGCTACCAAAACAAATTTCCCTCCTCCCCAAGTTAATGATTTCTGCTTTTGCTTTTCTCAAAAACTTTCTACTCAACAATATTACTATGGTTTCATTTAACTAATTTTTCATAGTTTCTAAAAAGGTATTCTAAAAGGTCTTTGCTTTCTTGCTGCATTGTAGGTTATTCTTAAACTCTTGTTTCTGGAATTTAATGCCTTTTTCTTTTAATCTGTTACTGAATCTACCTCATTGCTTTCAGCTTGCTTTTTGAGATTCAGATCTGAGGAGAACTTTAGCAACAGTTGTAGATGCACCATCCCTGTTAGACTCAATGTAGGCTGCATTTTAGAATCTGCTATAAGGTTTTTAGCAAGTTTCTTTATTTTTGTTCCCTGCTGCTCTGGATTTTTAAAATATTCTGACCTAGTTGATTTATCAAATGGCCTTATATCATAACATCACTATAGTCATATATATGTTTTTATTTAATTTGGAGAACAAGATTTCTGAACAGGCATGTTGAGAACACCCCCAAAGGTTGTTATACACCTTTGGTTATTATAATATATTTGTATATTGTATTATACAATATAATATTTGTATATTATACAAAATAATATTTGTATATTATATTATACACCAAAGGTTATTATACACAATGAAAATGTGTACTTTTGGTCATACTAGCATTTCAGTAGATTGAGCTGTGTTTGAAGTAATTGCAGACTAAGCAGGTACTGTAATGTGAAAGCAGCTGCAACTGTGCTATTCTCCCAAGCCTTGTCACACTAGAAAAATCTGGCCAACGAGGTATCCTTTAAAATAGGACTGAGAGACTGTTGAGGCTCATTCTGAAGAACTCAACCCTAGGATTATTTCTGTATTACATTCGTTATGTAGATGCTTCATCCCGTGGATTCTGTTATTTTTGCCTTTTAAATCTTATGTTTACACTTCTCAATATTTTTCTTTTGGCACAATGTTTTCCTGTTTGTGTAAATCAAAGCACTGTACATGTTACTCCGTGTGTGTATATATATCTTTAATAAAACAGTAGACTCTGGGTCTAATGATTTTGAATTTTAAAGCTAAATGATTTAAATGCTTTTTATTGTCTTGTAAATTCACTTTTAATTTATGCCTCAAGTCTTCTCATTCATTTTTTCTCTAATGGACTATATAGATTAAATAGGTGAGCCTTATTTTCATCTTCTGTCAAAATTTGACATTTTGTGTTCACCCAAACATGAAAAAGTTATGTCATCTGCATTCTTATATCAGTGCACAGTTAATTGTATTTCTTGACAGTTAGCCCAGCTTATGTTTATATACAGTAAGTATTCTTGGTTATGGGGAGGGGCCTGTCTACTCACTTTTAACATTGTTATTTATGAACACTGACAATAGGAACTTGCATACTGTCCTACAAAGTTCAGGCTTATTAACATAGTAAGTTGCTAAAGTCTACCTTCACTTTAGATACTTTCGGAGTGTTAAGGTGTATTTTTTAAATATCATTTGAAAATATTCTTTCAGAGATGTTTTAATTTTTACTTTTTGACTACTTATGCTTTATATGATAAAACTATGTTTCCAACCCTACTTGAAGACTTGAGAGTATAACCTTTTTTTAAAGTAATTTCTTTGATAACTTTATGTATTTTATCATAATGAATTTTTGTCAACTGTTTTAAAAGATTTTACAAAATCCCAAGAGTAGGTCTGTACATATCTGTATTATTATTGTTCCTCCTAAGCCTAAGTCTCCAATAAAATCTGTACTTCTTTATATTTTGTACCTTTTTTATTCTGGTGTTTGTAACATGAATTAGCCAAAAGATAACATTTCTTTTTCTGTTCCTTCTGTCTTTATTTTTCTATTGTACTTTTTTTTCCCCAAAATTTTTTTACAAAAGACAGCGGTTGTCTAGGAAAGCCTTGGATTCATTAGTCTAAGTTTTGTTTGATCATTCAGGTGCCTCACATGATGATTTATCAGTGCAAAAGCAGCAGATTAAGTTTAAAAACTCCATTTTAACCATTCTCTGTGACTGTCAGTCACTGGATACATTCTCATCCTGTTACATTTGTTGACTTACATGACCTCCCTTATGGAAAGGGTGTATTGAACTAATAAGGGAGTTAAGGTCCAATGGATCATGCTTTCCCTATGTAATGAATGGAAAGTTGGTTTTAACTTTCCTAAGCTTAGCTATAGTCTTGGGAACATTTTGGTAATTCCACAGTGGCTCTGCAGACTGAATGCTGGTTAAAGAGAAAGTGATCTTCCTTGAACTGAACTTTTAAATAAGTAAGCTACCTCTTTGCAGAAAAGATTTGAGTCAAGGAAATTTGGCTCTTGTCTGAGATTTTTTAAATTAAAAGTATAAAGATAAAGTAGATTGTATATAGTTTACTCTACCGGATCTTGAAGTCATTGGGTAGGAAATATCCCATATGATAATCACTCCTTGTCTTCACAGTTTGCTTTTGAAGATCCTTAGCAGATGTGCCATAACCATTGAAAATAAAGTTGACAAATAGTAATTTTCCCTGAATATACATCTGTAAAAATTAATAAAACTCTTACAGAAAATGGCCATATGAAAATTAGTCCTATTTGTTTGAAGTAATGTCTTAGATGTGTCTGTAGAAGAAAATATTAATTTTTATATAAAAAATAACATTAGGTAATAAACGTGTTTCTAGAACCCAAATATGTTGTTTGAAGATTAAAAAAAACAGGCTCAGTAGTTTTCTCAGTCATACACATGAAGTGGCAGAACCAGTGTCCCAACCAATTCTAAAAAAATAACCAGCCTTCATCATTATGTTAAGCTACTTGTGGATACATTTAATTTTATAACTAACCTTAGGATAAAGTAGAAAGACCTGAATTGGAAGTCAGTAGAGTTGGATTATGGACAAAGCTACTTTCTCAGTCTCAGACAAATCATTTAATCATAACGAGCCACAGTTTTCTGAGTAAGAAAAAGACAATTGCTCATGTGAATGTATGGCAAAAACCACCACAATATTGTAAAGTAATTGGCTTCCAAATAGAAAAAGACAGTTGTCATTTATGAATTGGAATAGACTTCCAAAATCCTCTTCTAAGAGTAAGATCCTCACATTGTCTCTTTCTTAAAGAGAAACAGTTGCACTATGTAAAGCCATATTTGTCTTTTCTTCCAGGGTGCAAGACAGCTAATATTTAGGCACAGGTGAGCATCTTGGAATTATTCAATTTTTAGAGGCTACAAAGGGTAAGAAGAGATGGCAAGGGAAGGAGATAGTAGTTTTAAAACAGTGTAGTTGGTTCCAACACAAAAAATAACCTACTAAGAACTCAGTGCAGTTCAGTCATTCAGTCGTGTCCGACTCTTTGCGACCCCACAAATTGCAGCACGCCAGGCCTCCCTGTCCATCACCAACTCCTGAAGTTTACTCAAACTCATGTCCATCAAGTCAGTGCTGCCATCCAACCAGCTCATCCCCTGTGGTCCTCTTCTCCTCCTGCCCCCAATCCCTCCCAGCATCAAGGTCTTTTCCAATGAGTCAACTCTTTGCATGAGGTGGCCAAAGTATTGGAGTTTCAGCTTCAGCATCAGTCCTTCCAATGAACACCCAGGACTTATCTCCTTCAGGATGGACTGGTTGGATCTCCTTGCAGTCCAAGGAACTCTCAAGAGCCTTCTCCAACACCATAGTTCAAAAGCATCCATTTTTTGGCGCTCAGCCTTCACAGTCCAACTCTCACATCCATACATGACCACTGGAAAAACCATAGCCTTGACCAGACGTGGACCTTTGTTGGCAAAGTAATGTCTCTGCTTTTTAATATGCTATCTAGGTTGGTCATAACTTTCCTTCCAAGGAGTAAGCGTCTTTTAATTTCATGGCTGCAATCACTATCTGCAGTGATTTCAGAGCACAAAAACATAAAGTCTGACACTGTTTCCACTGTTTCCCTATATATTTCCCATTAGGTAATGGGACCAGATGCCATGATCTTAGTTTTCTGAATGTTAAGCTTAAGCCAACTTTTTCACTCTCTTTTCACTTTCATCAAGAGGCTTTTTAGTTCCTCTTCACTTTCTGCCATAAGGGTGATGTCATCTGCATATGTGAGGTTATTGATATTTCTCCCGGCAATCTTGATTCCAGCTTGTGCTTCTTCCAGCCCAGTGTTCCTCATGATGTACTCTGCATATAAGTTAAATAAGCAGGGTGACAATATACAGCCTTGACATACTCCTTTTCCTATTTGGAACCAGTCTGTTGTTCCATGTTCCATGTTCTAACTGTTGCTTCCTGAACTGCATCCAGGTTTCTCAAGAGGCAATTCAGGTGGTCTAGTATTCCCATCTCTTTCAGAATTTTCCATAGTTTATTGTGATCCACACAGTCCAAGGCTTTGGCGTAGTCAATAAAGCAGAAATAGATGTTTTTCTGGAACTCTCTTGCTTTTTCGATGATCCAGCGGATATTGGCAATTTGATCTCTGGTTCCTCTGCCTTTTCTAAACCAGCTTGAACATCTGGAAGTTCTCGGTCCACGTGTTGCTGAAGCCTAGCTTGGAGAATTTTGAGCATTACTTTACTAGCATGTGAGATGAGTGCAATTGTGCAGTAGTTTGAGCATTCTTTGGGATTGCCTTTCTTAGGGATTAGAATGAAAACACCTTTTCCAGTCCTGTGGCCACTGCTGAGTTTTCCAAATTTGATGGCATATTGAGTGTAGCACTTTCACAGCATCCTCTTTCAGGATTTGAAATAGCTCAACTGGAATTCCATCACCTCCACTAGCTTTGTGTAGTGGTGCTTCCTCTGGCCCACTTGACTTCACATTCCAGGACATCTGGCTCTAGGCGAATGATCATACCATTGTGATTATCTGGGTTGTGAAGGTCATTTTTGTGTAGTTCTTCTTTGTATTCTTGCCACCTCTTCTTAATATCTTCTGTTTCTGTTAGGTCCATACCATTTCTGTCCTTTATTAAGCCCATCTTTGCATGAAATGTTCCCTTGGTATCTCTAGTTTTCATGAAGAGATCTCTAGTATTTCCCATTTTATTGTTTTCTTCTATTTCTTAGCACTGATCACTGAGGAAGGCTTTCTTATCTCTCCTTGCTATTCTTTGAAACTCTGCATTCAAATGGGAATATCTTTCCTTTTTTTCTTTGCCTTTCACTTCTCTTCTATTCACAGCTATTTGTAAGGCCTCCTTAGACAGCCTTTTTGCATTTCTTTTTTTGCATTTCTTTTTTTGGGGCATGGTCTTGATCCCTGTCTCCTGTACAGTGTCATGAACCTCTGTCCATAGTTCATCAGGCACTCTATCAGAACTAATCCCTTGAATCTATTTGTCACTTCCACTGTATAATCGTAAGGGATTTGATTTAGGTCATATCTGAATAGTCTAGTTGTTTTCCCTACTTTCTTCAATTTAAGTCTGAATTTGGCAATAAGGAGTTCATGATCTGAGCCACAATCAGCTCTCGGTCTTGTTTTTGTTTACTGTATAGAGCTTCTCCATCTTTGGCTGCAAAGAATATAATCAATCTGATTTGGTATTGACCATCTGGTGATGTCCACATCTAAAGTCTCTTGTGTTGTTGGAAGAGGGTGTTTGCTATGACCAGTGCATTCCTTGGCAAAACTCTGTTATTCTTTGACCTGCTTCATTTTGTACTCCAAGGCCAATAAATTTGCCAGTTACTCCAGGTGTTTTTTGACTTCCAACTTTTGCATTCCAGTACCCTATGATGAAAAGGACATCTTTTTTGGGTATTAGTTCTAGAAGGCCTTATAGGTCTTCATAGAACCGTTCAACTTCAGCTTCTTCAGCATTACTGGTCAGGGCATAGACTTGGATTACCGTGATATTGAATGGTTTGCCTTGGAAATAAACAGATCATTCTGTCGTTTTTGAGATCACATCCAAGTACTGCATTTCAGACTCTTTTGTTGACTGTGATGGCTACTCCATTTCTTCTAAGGGATTCTTGCCCACAGTAGTAGATATAATGGTCATCTGAGTTAAATTCACCCATTCCAGTCCATTTTAGTTCACAGATTCCTAAGATGTCAATGTTCACTCTTGTCATCTCCTGTTGGACCACTTCCAGTTTGCCTTGATTCATGGATCTAACATTTCAGCTTCCTATGCAGTATTGTGGCGGCTCAAGGCACTGGAGCATCTGTGAGAAGATATCCCATGTCCAAGGGCAAAGGGAGACACCCCAGCCATATGGTAGGAGGGGCAAGATCACATTTAGAATCAAACCCCATACCCGCCAGAGATGCCTAAGGGGGCTCAAACAAACCTTGTGCACATCAGGACCCAGAGACCCCACAGAGACTGAGACAGAACTGTGTTTAAGTGTCTCCTGCAGAGGTGCAGGTCAGTAGTGGACTGCTGGCAGAGCAGGGGCTCTGGATGCAGCAGACCTGGGTATTTCATAACCCCTTTTAGAGGAGGTCACCATTAACCCCACCAGAGAGCCACCAGAACTTACATAGGACTGGGGAAACAGACTCTTGGAGGGCACAAACAGAACCTTGTATGCACCAGGACCCAGGAGAAAGGAGCAATGACCCCATAAGAGACTGACCCAGACTTGCCCGTGAGGGTGCAGGAGTCTCCAGTGGAGGTGTGGGTTGGTGGTGACCTGCTGCAGGGTTGGGGGCACTGAGTGTAGCAGTGCATGCATGGGACCCTTTGAAGGAGGTCACCATTATCTTCATTACCTCCACCATAGTTTGGCCCCAGGTAAATAACAAGGACAGAACACAGCCCCACCCATCACCAGAAAGTTGGATTAAGGATTTACTGAGCATGGCCCTGCCCATCAGAACAAGACCCAGTTTCCCCCTCAGTCAGTCTCTCCTATCAGGAAGCTTCCATAAGTCTCTTATCCTTCTCCATCAGAGGGCAGACAGACTGAAAACCACAATCACGGAAAACTAACCAATCTGATCACACAGACCACAGCCTTGTCTAACTCAATGAAACTATGAGCCTTACCATGTAGGGCCACCGAAGACAGATGGGCCACAATGGAGAGTTCTGACAAAACATGTACACTGGAGAAGGGAATGGCAAACCACTTCAGTATTCTTGCGAACCCCATGAACAGTAAGAAAAGGCAAAAAGATAGGACACTGAAAGATGAACTCCCCAGCTCAGTAGGTACCCAATATGCTACTGGAGATCAGTGGAGAAATAACTCCAGAAAGAATGAAGAGACATAGCCGAAGCAAAAATAATACCCAGTTGTGGATGTGAGTGGTGATGGAAGTGAAGTCTGATGCTGTAAAGAGCAATATTGCATAGGAACCTGGAATGTTAGGTCCATGAATCAAGGCAAATTGGAAGTGGTCAAACAGGAGATGGCAAGAGTGAACATCAACATTGAAGGAGAGTAAATAGTGAGCCTTCCAAAATACTCTCTCCCAGAAAAAAGTCTCATTTACAGAAAAACAAAGAGGAGACAATTTTGCACTCTACCTACCCATACATTATGTCCCAATGCAGTCAACAGACACTACCTGTTCCCCATTTTGAACTATGAGTTAAGATGCCTCGGTTCAAACCTCAGCTCCTCCCCTTAGCTGTGTGATCTCCTCAAAGGCTCATAGAAACAGCAATATCATCTCATAGAATAGTTGCCAGGCGTCATGGAATTAGCTCTGTGAAAAGGTATACTTCTCAGCAGATATTCTTCCTTTGGGTCTCAATTTTATCTTTTCCTTGGGAAATTCCTGTTTTGTAGAAAAGCCTGGGGCCTTGCTAAGGGCTGGGACAAAGACTTGGCTGATAAGTGAAAGAGACAAAGCAAAGGGTAAAACTGGGTTTGGCCTTCCTGTAGGAAGGACTGGTGAGAGTTCATTCACCCAGTCAAAAAGTACTTATTGCAGTCCACTATTTTTCTAGGCATTCTCCCAGGCACTGGGATGT